CCGGCATCGGCGTGTCGGTGTCCGACACGTATCGGACACGGGTACGTCGGAGACACGTCGCCGACACGTGTCGGGTTCCTTGCGGCGTGTCGAACTGGAAGGAAACGGTGAAGAAGTGAAGAAAGAAGGAAGAAAACGGTACCTGTGTTGGCAGCACTGCTGCTCCAGTAACGGCAAGGAAGAAAGAAGAAAGAAGAAAGGAAGAAGAAGAAGAAGAAGAAGAGAAAGAGAGAAGTGACGAGAGAGAAGACAGTACCTGTCTGTGTTGGAGTAATTTTCAAAGCAGGCTATAATTTTCAAAGCAGGCTGCTGGTTCAGTGGACCCAACATATTAAATGCACGTTGTAGTATATTAGTCATATTAATGCATTGTACACATTTTTTTTGCAGTATGCATTACTTTTTTTCAACTTTAAACAACATTCAAGATTTTATGTTAATTAATTTTTTACTATTTTACCCTTCATATATGAATTTAATATCATATTTTATTTATATTTATTATTTAATTATTTATATACAAGATGCAGTAAGTATAAAAAAATTATTATTATTTTTAATTATTAAAATAAATTAAAATTAATATTTTAATCAACGTGTCGAAGACGTATCGAGTCGGAACATTTTGGAAAAATAGCGTGTCGACGTGTCGGACACGTATCGTGTCGGACACTCGTGTCCGTGTCGGTGCTTCTTAGATGAAAGCCAAAGGGCTTGCGCAGCAATGACTGAAGCTGCTGCAATCATTCCTGATCTGCAGGATGAAATAGAAGCGTTGAGAGCTCAATTACGAGTACTCCAACGTACGGTGGGTAATGGGCAAGCTCCCGTACTTGAGTATGCTCCTAGACTCAGAATTCCTGAACCGTGTACCTACGGAGGGGCACGTGATGCAAAAGAAGTCGAAAACTTTTTGTTTGACATGGAACAGTACTTTCTCGCAGCTTCGATCGAAGACGAAGCTAGAAAGATAACCACAGCTACCATGTATCTGGGTGGAGATGCAAAACTATGGTGGCAAACCAAATATGCTAACATTTAGACCAACAAGGTCCAAATAGATTCTTGAGATCTCCTCAAGGAAGCGATCAGATCGCAATTTTTCCTGAAAAATGTCGAGTATCAGGCTCGACGGGCACTTCGAGACCTCAAATACACAAGTTCTGTCAGAGAGTATGTGAAATCCTTTTCAGGGCATATACTGAATATTCGAGATATGTTGGAAAAGGATAAGCTCTTCACCTTTATGGAAGGGTTGAAGCCGTGGACAGGCACGAAACTTCAAAAATAGAAAGTTACTGATTTGAGCACGGCCATGGGAGCCGTCGAATGCTTGAGCGACTACCAAACAAAATCTAGAAAAGATCGACCTTTGAGAAGTAATCAAGCAATTGGAGGTGGTAACAGACCTTACAGATCCAGCTCGAACCCAAATGTGGGAGAGCGTTACTCTCATAATAAAGGAAGAGTCTATCAAAGCACCCGTGGCTTTCAGAGAAATTATCATAATAGCCGTCAAGGAAATTTTAACGACAGCAACAGTAACAACTGGAACAAAGGAAAAACAAAGGAGGGCCGAACTGATTCCACTCCCAAATTGATGTGCTTTTTATGCGAAGGATCTCATCGGGTGTCGGAGTGTCCTCAGAAGCAGATGGTGAATGCATAT